TCGTTCCACCTTGTTTTACTTAAGCTGCAGCCTGCCCTTGTGTCCATAAGTATCTGTGAAGCAAGAGGAATATGAAAACACATTTCCAATGAAGCAATTAGTACTTCCGTTGTTAAAAATCTGGTAAATTGTCCTTCAGGAACAAGCAGAAAGGCTTTCTTGTAGGAGCTCTGCTTCTTTAAATAAAAATACTTAATTTATACCATATGTTTCCTTCCTTACAAAAGGGAAAGTGTCCTCCACAAGCCAAGCAAAAATTTTCCTAGGAGTCAATCACAAAAGCTTTTTCTTCAAAGAGGAAAGATGAGCTGTACTCTAAAAAGATACTTCCAGAGAAAGAAGAAAAGGAGTTCAAGTCTAGGATGAGCACAGCTTGGATATATGAGGCCGTCACTTCTCCTGGTGTCTGGACAAGAATGGAAACCTCCTGCCTGAGAATCCACTGCCAAGGGGACCAAGTGCATTTGTTTCAATCCAACATGAGGGATGAGGGATTGGAGGTTGGACTAGATGACCTCTAGGGGTCGCTTCCAACCCAAAACATTCTATGATTCTATGAGGATCTTCAGCCAAAGCTGGCAGAGCGAAAAGACTATTTTCTTAGACACATGAAGTAAAGACAGAAAGTTGTCTTCTTAAGAAGAAGAGATTGTTACCAGCCTAGGTACCGCAGTCCTATCCCCCCAGAAAACAAACAGGAGACCTAAAAGAGACCAGCAAAGACAACCAAAAAGGTGATTTGTAAAGGGTTGGAAGGAGGCTCTGTGCCTGCCCAGGAACAGGCATGGTCGCCTCTCTCTTTCCAAGCGCAGATGAAATGAGAACTTTGCCAACACTGAATTCACCTTTTTTTTTTTCTTCTTCGCATTGTTTACATTCAAATACTTTGACACCAGACCAAAAGGAACTGCTATTTTTTGAACGTTTGACTCAGATCTGCATATGTTAAAGGAACAGAAGAGCCTGCAGCCTAGTTTAGCATTATCCATGATAGCTTTAAATAAGATAGGCACGGTACCACACCAGCACCTGCAGAAGTGTCAGCAAGATTCCCTCTCCTCCTTGGTGCATCACTAAAACCAGTGTCACAGCTAAATGGAGCTTGATGGGAATGCGGCACCTGACTTTCCTTGAGCTCTCAGAGATTTTAGGCATCTAGCAGCACCCCTGATGTCAACTAGGTAAAGCCATCCCACCAGGATAACATCCCTGACCCTGGAGAGATGGACCTGTGTGAACCTCATGAGCAGGGTAGGTTAAGGCTGGATCTAAGGAAGAAATTCTTTCCAGTGAGGGTGGTGAAACCCTGGCAGGGGTTGCCCCGAGAGGGGGTGGAGGCCCCATCCCTGGGAACATTCCAGGCCAGGTTGGCCGGGGCTGTGAGCAACCTGATGTGGTTCAAGGTGTCCCTGCTCCTGCAGGGGGGTTGGGCTGGGTGACCTCTAGGGGTCCCTTCCCACCCAAAACATTCTATGATTCGATGAGTCTATGATTCTATGACCTTAAAAAATGTGAACTTCTCATTCTTCACCAAGTGCTTTTTTCCCTTCAGTCCAGCAGAGGAATTGCCCCCCTGGCTATTTTAAAAACAATTGCATGTGTTTAGTTCAACTCTTTAGCTGTGTTCCTTCCCCCAGGAATGTAGTTAGAAAATGCTTGGGGTTTTGTTTAACTTCTTAGAGCAGAAAAAAAGACTCTGCCCTCAAGCAGCACGGAATTCAGAGAGGTTTTAGGAAGTGGTTAAACAGAATTAAGAGGTACAGGACAATAATAGCAAGTAACCTTTAGGCCTGTATTGAACTTGCAGAGATAAAGGATAAGGTGCATCTATCTGTGAACACTAATATTATTTACTTCCAAATACTGACTGAAGCTTCCATCTGGATCCCTGCTGTGCAATGTGGGAACCGAGACCCAGCATCCACTCTTTGCAAATGGTCCCAAACAGAAACGAGCTTTAGTTTAGATCTTCTTTACAGGAGACACATCAAGAACCTCTTGAACACCTAGGACCAAACGCTCAGGTTTGCTTGGAGTCGCCCGAGATCGTGGGAAATGGATAATGATATTTTGAGACTTCTTTAACGGGCACGTGCAGATGCACGCAAAGCATCTGACAATTTCTGATGGAGCCTTCCTGCCAAAGGAAATCCAAAAGCATTTTCAAGCCTGCAGAAAGTCCGTAAAAATAATGTTATCGCTCCTCTCCCCTCACACAGACCAATACTCGGGCTCTGCCACCACTTCTATCTGTATAATTCATTATTGCAGTAGCAGCAAACGTGGCTCCAAGTGCTGCCGAGTGCCAGAGCTAACTGGAAAATGAAAAACAGGAAAGTACTGGAGAGTGAGATTTCCCATCCAAATGTTGATATTAAAATTTCCCAACCAGACAGCAAGTCAATAATGGAGATGAATGATGCAACACAGGTTTTCTGTGGATTTCTTTCAATAATTCATTTTCAAGCTACACAGATACAGTGCCTTTTCAAATTTTAAATCAGAGGCTGAGGACTTAAATGAGCCCTTAGGAAGTGCTCTTGATCCAAGCCTAACATGGAACACAACTTGAATATTGGCTCTACAAGCCAAGATGCTTCCAAAGTGATTTTTCACCCATACAGTTTTTAAGAAATATAAACATTTAACTTTGCCTTTTGAGGGTTTAATAAAAAAAAAAAAAAATAAAAACATTCCTGTCTTGCTCTAATGATGAAGTTTTGCTTTCAAAAGGGACCATCACCTGGTTCCCACAGGTTTGGCTTTGACAGTTACCAAAATCTGTAAGAAAAGGGCCTTTCTCTCTGTGATTTCACTAAACCCGTGGTCACTAAAAAATCAAAACACATTTTGACGGGAAAAGTTGGCAAAGTACTTGCGATCCTCATGGTTTCTTTTGGGGTCTGTGAGCAAAAGCGTCTCATGGGCAATTATCCAAGAAAACACACCCACCCCCAATATTCCTGCTCGGCCCTGCCCAGAGGCCTTGACCTGGTGCACCCAACATCCATCTGCACGCGCTAGAAAGTAAAAATATCCAGCAAACAGAAAATCAAGCCAGAACATTTCAACTAAAAAAAAAAAAAAAAAAAGATGACAAAATTATTTCGAACTACTTGGAAATTTCAACAGGAACGTTTCTATTTCCAATACTTTGGTTTCTTATGAGCTGTGGGGTACAGGGTTGTTTTCTCCTATCTTCTTCACAGCTAGATCCAATCTTCGCTGGCATCTCAAGCTCACCGCAGCAGTACTGTCTGCCTGCAAATATTTGATCATTATCAGATGAAAACACCCAGTGAAATATCAGCCTGTATACAATGGGAAATCACTTAGGATTTAATCACAGCTGGAACCTGAAGTTTGTCGTGTTCCACAAAGACATCATCTGTATTTGAGGTATATTAAGCAGCAGCATATGATGTCAAAAACAAAATTAAGCCCAAAATAAATCCCAGACAGCAAATCGGAGAACACATATTAATAGCTAAACAAAATATAATACAAAGACATATTCCAGAAGGAAGTCTCAATGCAAATCAAGAAAAACTCTGCCGGGACCAGGCGTCCTGCTCACCCCTGGCCGAAACCCCGGGCCAGCCCCATAGCAAACACTGGACCCTTGTACCTTCTGCTTATGTGCAGCCACAGAGGTTGCCTGTTCATTTATTGGACTCCAACATGTTAATGAGCAATTAATTCCTAATTCAGTTACTGTTCAGGAAGGATTTACAAATTTGGTATCGGTATGTTATAGCTTGTTAAGCACGTCAGGAAGCCAAGTGCAAGAAAACCTCCCAAAAGGCAGTTGCCCCCCTTCACCAATTCCATAAATAACTCAACAAAAGTTGTCACCGCTTGGGTCTCTCACGCCACAAACATCTTGAGATTCATCAGACAGAGAGAGGGTAGGGTTTGGGAAACGCAAGCCCGGTGCTCGCACAGTCAGAAGGCACTCAGGGTTCTTTTCGAAGGACTCGGGAGACTGTGGGGCTACCTGCGAGCAACGGCCATTTGTTTAACTACGTATGTGGCACGCGAACAGATTTGTTTACACGACCTGACTTCCATTAGCAGAATCTCCAGATGTATATTGCAAAGACTTTCTATCTTCAGAGCATTTCAAACAGATTTTGAATGGTTTTTCTTAATTCTAAGCGTACACAAAACCACAGCTGTTTGAGGCATTCAGGTCTTCTCGCTTTCCAACAGCCGAGTCCAGTGATATAATTTACAGAGTCACAAGCAGAGTTTACCATCAAACCTACGGCAATAAACTACCTGACTGCAAGCGAGAGCCGGGCTTCGCCTGACTCCGGAGTCTCTACAAGTCAGACTGGAATTTGCTTTTTTTAATTCCATTTTGTGCATTTATTGCAGCACGACATTTTCAATTGCTCCCTCCTTTTCTGTCAGCTCTGGTGATCAGCTGCATTGCAACCCCAAGACTTCATATTTTTCACTGCCCAACATTTTGAGTGCAGCTTTTAAAACTGTGTATCATGGGCACATGAAGAGATTGCCATTTAAAAAAAAAAAAAAAAAAAAGCAACATTTTTCATCAGCACTTAAAGCAAAATAGCAAAAACCATTTGTACTTGCTCCCATATCAGTTTTGAGGGCAAGCGCAGCCAAAAGTACAAGAGATTGAGGGCTGTGCTGCATTCTAGATCTTCACCCTACGCAAGCTGCAGACAAACCTTCCCCTGATATCAGCCAAATCTTCCTCTGATATCTAAGCAGGCTGAGTTTCACCTGAGCTTCACCTTTCTTACTGAAACTTTGCCATTTTGTTTAAAGATATTTCCATATGCCCTACCTGACTTCACGGGGAGCAGCCACAAGTCTTCTGACCATAAATACTGGCAAAACCTGCAGCCTCTGCCCTAAAAGCTGTCGAAAGCTGGGCTTCACAAAGAGCTGGTTGCTTCTTTGGAATGCCAGATACTATAAGACATTAATAAAAAGCACCATAAGGACTTCCCGAGCAATGTACTTACAGTACACGTCCACTCTGATGGACTTTATGGCTGGCGAACCCAAGCCGTTCTCAGCCTTGCAGTAGTAGCGTCCTCCTTGGTGTCGCTGGATGTTGGAGATCCTCAGGGTTTCATTGAAGACGCTCGAGTCTTGAAATCTGTCAGAGGCACTTCCTGCTGTTTTGGTCCACCTGATCTGAGCAAGCACCAAAAAAGATTGTTACTTGAAGTCTGTAAAAGTGAGCAGAGTACACGTCTCTTCACCCAACCGAGAACCACGCGTGTGGCGGCCAGGATTTTATCTTGGAGGACCTGGGGAACTTCTCCAGAACACTGAATAGCTCACACTTCCAATTAAACACTTCATCCAAGAGCCCCTGAAGGGTAATCTTGCATTTATCACCCTCTCTTAGAAAGAGTTGATTACTCCTGATGGAAATACCACATAAAAAATAAACGCCGCTAGCAGAGATATGGAGAACGACTGAAGCCACCATCGGTGACACAGCTGGAACAGCTGCAGGGTAATTCTCCATTAACGGCAACGAGCAGAGCTGGCCGGAAAAGGCGGCTGTACTCGTGCACGGAACACGGGGAGCTCTCACCGAAATCATACTCACGGAAGATGAGGGCACATTGGAAAGCGCCTTCAAAACAACTGATGGATTATCTTTTAGCAGCAATAAAACCCAATTTTAAGGAGTCAAATGATCAGTTGCTTGAAACTGCAAAAAAACTACTAACAGCTTATTTCTTAAGATGTGTAGTTTTGGGTTTTTTTAATGTCATTTATGGCAATTACAGATTCTTTTACTCTGGTAATTATTTCCCAAACGTGAAGACTTTTTAAAAGGAACTTTTTAACTCCAAACCCACAAAAATGCCAGTAAGAGCCCACTACACTCACAGCTGCACAGAGGTGGATACGCACGTTGCTAACACCCATCCTTGATGGCCCAAGCCCTTGCCCGTGTGACTCAGTAGCCCAAGCTGCCTCCTGAAGTGCTGCAGACCTCCAGAGGCTCCCCAGGTACCTCCTCCTCTTTCAGTTCACACTAATTCAGTGACCACAGCAAGCAACGTTCAGCTCCAGACCAAAACTGCTTTTTTAATTGGTAAGTTTTTCTTGCCTATACCACAAGAGGGATACTTGCATAAAAGGAGTTTACATCACTTCTGAAGCTTCTCAAAGCTGTCTCTTCTCAACCCCATCCACTAATTCCATGCCAGGATGAAGACCAAAACTTCTGTAGTCATTGGTAAAAATGAGATCGACACAAGACAAGATAATAAATATTTGGTTGTTAGTTCCCAGACTACGGCCCCTAAAGATTGTCCAAAGGTAGGTGGTGAAGCCATGATTTAAAGAACAGCATTTAGACACTGATCCGTTGGGATCTGCTAGCCAGGCTAGCAACCCCGAGCTGGTATCGGCTGGGTTTCGACAAGGTGTTGCAGCCTTGGCAGCTCAGCCAGCGCACGCCTTCCACCAGCGGCGAATGCCTTCTCCATGCCCAGCCAAGCCCGGGCTGGACACACTGTGCTTCCAGCGCTCTCCTGCATGAAGGAAGGTCCCATGGCTGAGTTGGGTGGCCCTTGGTGGATGCCAAGGTGACCCTAAGGGTTGCCCTGGCTGGAGGGAGACCATTCCCGCAGGGTGCAGAGACGCTTGAGTTCCACCATTCCCAGTCCTGACCCAGGACTGAGGTCCAGCTCCCAGTAACCTGCACAGGAGCACAAGGCAGGCAGGGGCCAGCCTTCCTCTCATGGGGAACATCTCCTGAACAGGAGGGATCTTCTTCATAAGGAACTGAAAAATTCATCACTAGCTGTAGCCCATGTAAATCCTCCTCCCCTTGAAATGGGAGCAGGCGTGAAGGCTGAAATGACAGCAAACAATAGCTCAAAAAAGAATTTCCTCTCTTTCTGCCTTGTTAAATTCATAAGCCCGCCTGGCTTTGCCCTCTCGCCAGGTGACCCGCAGAACTCTTACATGGTTCTGCTGCTCTGGGATAAAGCAAATATGCCAAACTCCACATCTACAACATTCAATCTGCATGTGAGAGAGACGCTATTAGCACTGCTATATTTACCAGTCTCAATCTGCCTGTACTTCTATTCTAAACTCTTGGCTCCGGGGTTTTTTAAATCATCCATATAAATGTGCTGCAGGATAATTTTGGAACGCACACTCAGCTTCTGCATGCTGCAGAATACAGTTTCATCACATATATATTTCAAATGCTCGAGAAGTATTTTAAAACTGTATTAAAAAGATGTTCACAGAATCTCTTGTGTGTTTTATTTCCCTTTACATAATTGTAAAAACAGCTCTGTTTGATTTTTAACAGGAAAAAAATTAATAGCATGACTTCTCTCTTCCTCTCCTACAAAAACTTCCCAGGGGAAGGCAGCCTGCCCTGTCAAAAGAACGTATAACTTAAATAACATGTTGTAAGTACTACCTATTGTAAGTCTATGGAACTGGTGTCACTACATAACTTACACAAAAATAATACAGCAACGTTTATTTGGCTACTGTCAGAGTTTTATCTTTTTTTGTGTATTTGGGTTTCTGTGGCAAGGTCTTGGTAGTGGGGGGGCCACAGGGGGGGCTTCTGTGAGAAGCTGCCAGAAGTTTTCCCTGTGCCCTCTGCTGGCCAAGGCCAAGCCCATCAGCGACGGTGGAAGCGCCTCTGGGATAATGTAATTAAGAATGAAAAAAAAAACAAAAAACGGCTGCATCTCAGTAGCTGAAGAGAGAAGAGCAGTGAGAGGATGGGAGAGAAAACAGCCCTGCAGACACCAAGGGCAGTGAAGAAGGAGGGGCAGGAGGGGCTCCAGGAGCCGGAGCAGAGATTCCCCTGCAGCCCATGATGAAGACCATGGTGGGGCAGGCTGTCCCCCTGCAGCCCATGATGAAGACCATGGTGGGGCAGGCTGTCCCCCTGAAGCCCCGGGAGGTCCACGGGGGAGGAGGTCCCCACCTGCAGCCC